GGCAGCATCATCGCCCCAGACCAACACAGGGGCTCCGCTACCAACTCGAAACAGAGGTAGGATCCTAAAGCATGTATGCAACTAGTGGTGTGTAGAACATGGTCTATTGTGATACCAGGCTCCCTGAACGCACCTTTTTAGCTGCGTGTGTGGAATGTGCACATGTAACTGGGTCAACCCGGCTTGAGCCAACAGCGGTAGGGCAGGTGCATACCGAGTGTAGTAGCAGTAGCAGTAGCAGTAGCAGGAGCAGCAGTAGCAGTAGGAGTAGGAGTAGGAGTAGGTGTAGGAGGAGGAGGAGGAGTGGTGGTAGTAGTAGTAGTAGCAGTAGTAGCAGTAGTAGTAGTAGCAGCAGTAGTAGTAGTGGTGGTAGTAGTAGTAGTAGTACGAGAAGGAGTAGGAGTAGGAGTACAAGTCTTGTTAAGGGCAACAAAGCAGAAGAATAATCCCCCATTCCCATGATATTCGGACTAGAAAATGGGAGGGGTTGACGTGTGTAGAAAACGGGCATTCTTTAGTCTCAAGGAGGTAAACTCACCGGGAAGGGGTCAGGTATGGACATGTAGGTCACTAGAGAATTAGGATCACAGGTCTCATAGGCATGCTGGCAGGGTCATTTGCTAGACATCACCTTGTTTTCTTGATCCCACCGTGATCCTCATTTTCTAGTGGGGTTCCTCATTTTCTTTTGGCTTTGGTGTCTCGACCGGCACAAGGTACACCCAAATCCTCAGACACTGCCATACCCTACCATTCCATTTCTGGCAGTCTGGCCAGACATGGAAAGGTGGGGTATCCAGCCAGACCAAAGAAAATGATTAGGGATAATTAGGGTGTGTTCACCAGCACCTGGTACACCCAAATTTCCAGACACTGCCATACCCTACCATTCCATATCTGGCACTCTGGCCAGAAATGGAAAGGTAGGGTACCCAGCCAGACCAATTCACTAGAAAGTGTTGGGTTCTAGGTTTTCAGGGTGCGTTCCTCATTTTCTAGTGGCTTTGGTGTCTCGACCAACACCTAATACACCCAAATCCTCAGACACTGCCATACCCTACCATTCCCTTTCTGGCACTCTGGCCAGAAATGGAAAGGTAGGGTACCCAGACAGACCAATTCACTAGAAAATGTTGGGTTCTAGGTCTTTAGGGTGTGTTCCTCATTTTCTAGTGGCTTTGGTGTCTCGGCCACACCCAAATCCTCAGACACTGCCATACCCTACCATTCCATATCTGGCACTCTGGCCAGAAATGGAAAGGTAGGGTATCCAGCCAGACCAAGTCACTAGAAAATGATGGGTTCTAGGTCTTTAGGGTGTGCTCCTCATTTTCTAGTGGCTTTGGTGTCTCGACCAGCACCTGGTACACCCAAATCCTCAGACACTGCCATACACAGAGTTTGGTAGCTGTTGTTCAATCAACTTAGCTTTTGTATGCTTTATTTGCTTTTGGACGTCCTCACAACAGGCAGATGATGTAGGAGGAGGCAGGGTCAAAGCAGGATCCGCTAAAGAATGGCAATCGCACGTCAAGGCACCAGAGCATTCACTAGAAAATGCCAAGCGCAGGTTCAAAAAGAAGACGCGCCAATCACGGGTCCAAGAGGTGTGATTGAAGTTTAGGGTCATTTTCTAATGATTCACTAGATTATGCCAATCACGGGTTCATGAAGCTGCGTTCCTCATTTTCTAGGGAGCTGACATTCATTATTCCCCAGGAAATCACTAAAGAATGGGTAGGACTGACCCCCCTATGTGATTCTCATTGGGGATGAAGAATTGGGGATGAAGAATAGCAAACTAATCCCGTCCTCCTAATAATAAACACGGCCCCCCCCCTATTAAAAAGAACTCGGTCGCATTTTTTCTAATAGGGGGTCCCTGAAATCGGGGTGTCCAAAATAGGCTCAGTGGATGTGCAATATTTTGTTGACCTTGAAGTGCAGAATTCGTGGCGCGCGCAGTACTTTGCTGACCTTGAAGTGCAGATTTCGTGGCAGGCGCAGTACTTTGTTGACCTTGAAGTGCAGATTTCGTGGCAGTTGCAGTACTCTATTGACATTGAAGTGCAGATTTCGTGGCAGGTGCAGTACCCTGTTGAGTTTTGGGGAACCTAATTTAAAACAACTACCCCCAAAATCGACCATGTTGGTAGTTTAGTAGCGGTTTGAAAGGGCGGCAATTTAAAACCAAATATAAACCGAATTTAGGGGTTCGGACGTGGTGTTTTTTAATTGGGGAGTGTTTATTAATAGGTACTCGGGATTAGCTAAAAATATACAACTCTGAAAAAGAACGCACCCCGGGTGAAAAAAATTGTGACCATTCCGTCCCACTAAACTAATCAGGGTGTGTGAATAATTTGGCGACAATTTATTATTCCGTCCCACTATATAGTACTAACTTGGATGCGACATTTTTTTGGTGCACTTTTTAGTATAGGTGGGGGAGTCTATGTTATTGCAACATGCGCCGTTTGCAATATTCGCTAGGTTTTGTTGTAACATTGAGTGAACAAATAAAGCAGATGGCAAATCTCCTTATTTGCACCACCACGCAAGTATATGGTTCCCTTTGGCAGGCCAGATGCCTTGCAGAGGTGTTGGCCCGTGGAATGCTAGAGCCCCGGATTGGAATGTGTGATGGTCTTGTGACAGATTGTTTCATCCTTGAAATCTACTTCGCCCATGTACACACACACGCATATATATATATATTATAGACAGTATACTAGTATACATTAGTCGCGCCGGCCGCCATCCATGAACGACCCGCCCTTCTTCATTTTTGACTGGCATTGTATTCTTAACTGCGTGACTATGGCTGTAGCTAGGTCCGGCTACCAACCAGAGAGGAACGTGACCGCAGAGCCACCAGAGGCTGGACCGTCGAACAAACTTTGCTGTATATAGATGTGGAGTGCCAATGCTTTCGGGTCATGGTTCATGCCAGATTACAGCAAGATTCATTTCTTTCGTGGCCCACTTTCCTCTACATGAATCCCGTTCCATCCCTGCTGCTAGAAACATGTTGGATCATGTTCTCACACATTTAGTGATTGATTCGTAAGTGTTGCCAGATGCAGACATGGCTTTCGTTGCTTTCGTTTGTTCCTTTGAGATCCTTTGGGTGCTTTATCCCCTGCGAGGCTGAACCAGCTGTGCCCGCAACTGATCCTGAGCGAACGTTGCTCCGTTCAGCTGACCCTGGACCTTGCCGGGATCTTTGTTTTGGTTGCATTGCTGTTTTCACTTTGCAATTGCCTTTGTCAATTGAGCATCCGAAAAAAATGAGAGAAACAACTATAGCTTTATGTCAAACCTGCAGAACCGACGGGGGACAACCAGAAATGGATAGAGTCGAGGTATTGCGCAGAACCCTCGCCTCTCTGGAACAACTGGAACAACCTAGTTTGCTTGTGATCATTGCGAACTATGCGGGAACAGATCTAAGTCACTGCCCGGCACTCCCTCACTTCGTGCACACCCTTCCTCCAACTTATTCCTGACTGTGGATTCCTGTTTTAACTTCAGTATGATTACAGTATGATCCTTTTTGGCCCCTGGTAGACACGTGGCTCGGCAGGACCTCCCACAAGCGCTGAGAACATTGCAGCTCCTGTGGTAGTCACCTGCTTGGCTTTCAACATTTGATGGACTAAGTGCAAAAGATTGCAAAAGGATGTAGAAGGCCAGTCCATCGAACTAGTAGGTTCATTGGGATCCAAAATTGTTGTATTTGAGGGTTCGAAGCTAGGTGTTGTTTGCATCGCGGATTTCAGTCATTCATTGTTCACAGAAAACCTTTGCAATCAGATGTGGTGAGCTGTAGCTGGAGACTTAGGCTGCTCATTTGGGCACGGCAGCAAATCTTGAAGAGGGTGACGAAGGAAGTGTCCCACGCCCACCTGTGGAGATTACTTCTGGCTGGGATGTATCCTGGCAAGACCTGGAGTGCTGGGGGTCAAACAGACAGATTCTCTAGCAGATTCTAGCAGTAATTTAAAAATATGTACAGCAAAAAGAAGGCCACGTGGACTTTGAAGCGGGGTGCACTTTGCCGTTAATTAAACTTTTATCTATCTATAGATACTATAGATTTTTCAGCCTGCATTGCGGACAGTCAGTTGTTGTTCCTACGGACGTAGGGCATGTGATGTGTCTCAAACCACTTGTCCCAACACTGAGCTGTCAGCTGCAAGGTGTTCAATCCTGACGATCAACTCGAACACACAATCCCGACCGGCAGAAATGAGACAGGTCAAGATGGTTCCGTGGATGCACAAGTGACACAGTCATTTGATGTGTAGGCAGTTCCTGCAGCTACCGGTCTCATCCGTACTCAGGTTGGGGAGACTTCGACTTTGATGACTTAATGTGAGTAGTGGATCTTCAGTGAATCACTGAAGCTGGTGTCCATATTCACTTAGCAGCTTCTTCTAGCTGCTTGCTCGCTAGTTTGCTCGCTAAAGGCTAGAGCTATATCGGACAGGCTTGGCCACTTCACTGTGGTCAAGCGGATTTCAAGGATCACTGAGTATTCGACCGTCATTTCTCACATCGTTTGAACATGGCAGCGCGGCCGAAGCTTGAGGGTGAGGGCCCGGTATGATGCATGTTTGGCACTGTTTGGCTCCATAGGCCTTACGACAGCACTCTCCATGCCATCCCTGTGGCATGGAATTCCACGCTGGTTAAGCAGTAAGACTAAAGACTAAATACGTGTGGTTAACGCCTATCAATGTATATATAGTTATAGATAGTGTAACCCAATGTGTATGACATGAGGTGCTTCAATGAACTTTTTGTGGAAGACTTCGCTCTATGCAAACAAATACTTGCGCAAAAGAGATGGATGCGGGATCTTAAAACTCAAAAGGAAACCGATAACACACTCACCAAATTTGTAGCAGATTTTGACCATGGCTCATATCAGAGTGAAAGGAAGACTACAATGCTTCTAGCAGTTTTGGCATCCTTTGTCATATACCATGCCTAAGGTCTGAGACAGGGGCCTCCAAGATGGAAGCCACTCTGAAGGCTGAAAGTCTGAGCGAAACACCCACTCAATCATTGTAGCCCATCAGATTCTAAGGCTAAGTACAGCAAGTAGTGGGTTAGCAGAATGGCACCTTGCACTGAGTGGTAATTATAGAAGGGGGTTGAAGGTGTGGGGATTCACAAGCTCCAGGCTGATGATGATGAGGAGGACAGTTGTTGACCAGCTTGTCGGCCCTGGAGTGGCGATTCAGAGATCGTGAGAACTGGGTTTTCGGTTTTCAGTGTTCGGGGCTCATGTTCGCCAGAGCAATAAGTAAGAATGCTCCTAGTAGCGATGCCAGGAGCCCCTAGTAGCGATGCCCTTGCTCCTAGTAGCTTCTTGCTCCTAGTAGTAAGGCCAGGAGCCCCTAGTAGCGTCCTGGCTCCTAGTAGCTCATGTTCGGCAGAGCAATACGTATCCTTTTACATTTCTTTCCTCAACATGCCTTTCTCAGTTCTCACTCTCACTGACTATCCGAATCCTTTCGGGATTGATTTTTTGGGATTTTGTTGTTATATCCATTAAGATGCCTATATAAAATTATAGCCAAACCCTTGTACACTTGCTATTCGTATTTCAATTAAGGAATGGTATCAGATCCTTTTCAGGATTCTGCTTTTGGGTTTTAGCCTGCCCAACACTGGATCTTTGCATCAAGATACTTGTCGTTTACATCGACACCTTGCTTGGGAGGGAGAGATAGGCTCCAGGATAGAGAGTATGACAGAGGATGAGGAGTGGAGTGGTTTTGAAGGATTCCACCACATTGCGGCACCACGTTGATCAAAATTGAATGGCGGACCTTGAACGCAGAGGATTTGTGTAGTTTGTGATTTAATTGTAGGCTCGGACTGGGGGATGGACTAGACCTGAGTTGAGTGCTTCTAGAAGCACCAAGGCTTCGATCAGTGTCATTGACTTTGCAAGAGTGTGAGGAATTGCGACGACACCGTGAGCTAGTCAGACGTCAGCGTGCCGAGGCTGAAGAGGCACAGACGATGTCAATGATCTTCAGACGTTGCATTATCGGGATGAAATGCATGTCAGCATGTCCCGCAGATTGTTAAAACCTTATGTTTTTTCTCGCTACATGTTTCGGTATCATAGGACCCACTGGACAACTCTTATGCCCTTTCTCTCTCTCTCTTTGCATATGTGTTACTGTATATGTCCCGGTGTGTGTCGTTTTTGCTGTTGTTTGGCAATTTTTGACATAAGTGAATTATGTGTGTATATATATATATATGTGCGACCGTAAGTGCCCGCAAGTGCCACAGTATTCAGTCATGAGGTCACACTTTTATATTTTATACAATATATATGTATATACTGTATATTACTTACTTTCTTGTTTAGACATACACACTAGTGCGACTACTGAGAGGCTCCGCATAAGCCCGGCCTGTAGACACCTGTTGCAGGCCAGGCAGAAGGAGCGTGAGCAGGTGCCCAGATGTATTTGGACTATTTGGGTGCTGGTGACTCTGTTATTATCTATATTTTAGCCCTTGGTCCTGCCTGCGGGAGAAGTTCGCTAAACACTATCTACTTGAGCTACTGCATATGGACGCAGGATAGCTCACGCTTCTTCAAAGAAGCTCCCCACGCCGCCCTAAAGGCGGCGGGGGGGAGCTTCCTTGAAGAAGCGCTCGCACTAATGATTTGGATCCTAGATTTGTAGGGGAACTTATCTTAGTTCTTGGCATGTTGATTTTGTTTTGGATTGGTCATATGAATCGTATTGAATCATATTTCACAAATCTAACCCTTTGTCGAAGATGTTTGGAGTGTGAACTTTTACGTTAGTGTTTGATATAGCAGTGTCCACTGAAGCAGGCACGGATGAAGCGGCAAAAAGACTGGGACGAGCAGCAGAGACGGATAAGACTTGCGGCGACCCAAGCGGAAAGTCAAGCTCGGTTTTGGATTTGAATGCCATGAGGATATTGTTCAATGCATGCTGCTGTGCATCTTTGTCCCAGACAATGTCAGTGTTTTTTAAGTCTCGAGGGCGGTTTTGATGCTTTTGCTACGTAATGCTGCATTCATGTTGACCGCTTGCGTGTATGGTTGGGGCGAATGGGCCTGTAGCTGATTAACTCATGCCCGCCGAAGATGCCATCTATTACACACGGGCGCTGCAACAATAACGAGCACACACAGCTATATGTTCAAGGAGAAAGCACATGTGCCGCGCATGTGCGCTTCCTGGCACGTTTTGTCCCAGGAAGTGGAGCGAGAGACCCAAACAGAGAGGCACGAGTTGATGCCTTTCTATCCTCAGATTCTTGCCAGAATTTTAGACCCAGTCTAACCCTAGCTTTTGTATGTTCGAAATTTTCAAGGCAGGACATTGAGCTTTCGTCTTTCGTTTGCCCCTGCTATCTCAGAGTTTTAGGGGCTAACCTTGCGGCCGCAGCGAGTTAGTTATACGGGATTGAGATGTTCAATGAGTAGCTGCAACTTGGAAAGGCTGGAGTCTCAACCGGATAGTGTCCGGGACTTGGCGATGACGGGAGCGCAGAGTGTTTGTCAAGAGCTCCTTTCTTGCCTTTGCTCCGTTCGCCATAGCACACCAATTGGCCCAATTGTCAAGCCTTCAGATAGGTTTCAAGGATCACCGGATCCTCAGCTGGTTTCGGCACCAGGCAAAACTTCGCCGTTGCAAAGAAGAGCTGGCAGCTGTGTCTCGCATCCAGGCAGTCTTGAGCGTTTTCATTTGAAAGCTTTCCTCTACTGATTTGCACAAGACAGGCCGTTTTTCGTGGGCACCGATCCCGAAGAGGCAGAAGGGCTCAGCCAACGACAGATATGAGCATACAGAACAAATCAGACTACTGTAAATCCGTCTGCAGAACACAAGAGTTGATTTGGATCTTGATCCAGCAGAATTTGAAGACTGGCCATTCCTGTAGCACTACCAGTAGGTCCTCCAATGATAAACTGATTTTGGTACGATTGTTTCCGCCGAGGTCAGGTAACAGCCTCTCCAGCTGTTTGTCCAACTCTACACGTGTCCTGTCTTCGTGTGCATGTGAGCGCACAGAGCGTGTATAGTGGTAGTTTAATTTTGCTTGCTTGTCATGAGTCAAATTGAGTTGTTTGTATATGCCCAGTTCTCCAGTCATCTAAGGCAGAGCCATTTCAGAAGCCAAAGGTGTTTGACCTGGAATGAGCTCCGTGCTCAGCATCTCAAACATGCGTGGGAGCTCCTGAATTCAAAGATTTGCACGTGTAGTTGCTTTTGTGCTTTTGCCGGTCAGTTGTGAGCAAGACTTCTCTTGTACGCAACTTCTCGCTTGGTAGCGCCTGGGATTATGGGGTCAGTCTCCTTGTCTCAGTGCCTTGGGGGTTGTACGGGTTGGCTTGTTAGTGCGTGACCTGCAGCTAGTGTGCCATGTTTGACTTGCTTGGCAAATGATTGCAGGTGAAAGGCAATGATAAAGATTCAAGCCGTTCCCTCATCGCCCGTAGCTCAACCAAAACTGTGGCACCTTGCCTCAAGCTTTACTGCTGAGTCGCATCTCGAGTGAGGTTCAGACAGCCGTCTCCCACCCAGGAAATGTGGGGGCACAATCATCAGCACCAACCTCAGAAAAGCATGGTCACCTTGGCCTAAATTGAATTGGTTTTGCGAGTGCTTTTGTTCTGTTTTATTTCCAAGCGCCATGCGATCAGGTCGGCAGATGTGACATAAATGTCAATTTCTCGGAAGCTCTCGCACAATGTGTGGCATCATTTTGCTTAACGGCTTAGCATGTTCAATGAACTTTGAATAAATTCAGACATGGCAGAGAATGTGCCGACTTGGGCGTTCCTAAATGGGAACTCTCATTCACCGTCAGCCCTCAAGCAGAGATCAATCCTCGTGGCCAAGTCATTGCCATGGGCCATTGTCCAATAAATGCAAGCATTGCATGTTTATTTCATGTTATTTCAGGGTTGACCGATAGTGGCGACGCCGAAGCTCTATTTAGAGCAGGTCATGCAAGAGCGGGCAGAAATAGCCCACACTTGCAAGACTCGCTGATTGGCCTTTGTGGACTTCCATATGTCTCGTTCACACCCAATTGGCTTTCCCACGGCATTGTTTTCTCAAGCTCATAATTGAATTGACATCCCACAATAGGCTTCTGGGATTGGTGCTCCAGATCTTCAAGCTGTGCTTGTCGGAGCCAAGCAACTAATCAAAAGGTATGTTCACGTTTCTGTCAGAATGCTTTTGGTGTGAGAGTCTTACGCAAACGTGATTGTGAACGCTTGAGTCATGTTGTACTGATAAGTGTTGATGCTGTATGATGTCGTATTTGGATTGGCACATCCATTTTTGAGTGTGTGCAGCTTACCTGGCAGATTCTCATAGATTGGTTATAGCCCTGTAAACTGATAAACTGATAGTAGCAACATTGGATCGAACACGGGCCATTTTGAACAATTTGCATATATATATATATATAGACGGCCAGTGGCAGGGCAAAGCAAGCACTCGGTCAAGTCAAGATGATTGCATTGCTGTTTTGGCTCGATGAGAACGCACCTGGTCTTGTAGAGGCCAGCCCATACCGCTGTTGGTCATACGACCAAGTTTGCAATCTACGCACTGGTCAATCAGATTATACTGCGTCGGTAAGCCATTTTAAAGATGTACAAGTGTGCATGCACCATTGCCACTATTTGCAGTTGTCAAAGGCTTGCCTCAAGAGCAGGTTTGAAGATGCCTCAAGTATCAAAGTGGGACAGCAGCCAGATCATGTGATCATTCTCGTGTGTGCAGCCTCTGCACTGGACTTGGGGTATTGTTTCAAGCTTTCTGCACAGGCCATGGCAGAAGAAGCCCCGCCCGATGCAGTTGGAGCCCCAGACTGTTACACTCATCACTTGGAGCAAAGCCCGACTAGGGCACCTCTTTCTCCTGTGACTTGTGATTTGATCGCAATGACCTTGTTGATTGTTCCCTTGAGCGGCGACCAAGACTTCATCAGGTTTTTCTGCAGACTCGTTCATATCTAGATATTTATGTATTGTATTGTATTATTGTATAATTGAATGTTTTTTCATTGTCTCTCGTTGATTTTATGTCTCAGTCTCCAACTTGACACTTGGGCGAAGCTTGCTGAGTTTGAGCGCGAGCTGAGGTGCCTGACGCCGAAGATGCGGAGGCCAGGTCTTCAACCAGTTGGAGCAAGGACGCTACTACGAACAAAGGGCATCGCTACTAGGAGCAAGGACGCTACTAGGGGCTCCTGGCATCGCTCTGCTTGAAATTGGGATCTTCGGCCCTGGTGATCCATTTCCCAATGTGCCATTTCCTTGGCTGGCAATACAGCTATGATAAGATTGGCCATTCCCTGTGTGAAAATGAGCATGACAATCCACCATGATGTGCATTCCAAGCGGTTGGCCTATCGAACCTTCGAGAGCGTTTCTCACTCATGCCACGTGGTCGACCCGCGTTGGCTCAAGCAATGGACAAAGGGCGCGGCAGTCCCTTTGTTTGGTCGGTTTTGAGGGTGTTTCACGTGTTCATTCACATTGGCACCGGAGCTTTGTTCTCCAGGGAATCTGTTTGGCTTGGCATCCCCTTCCTTTCGGTGACCCTAACCTTTCACTCTCGGCCGTTCGCGACCATGGCGGCCCTGGACTGCCTTCGATGGCAGAAGTTCTCGGAGGCTCAATCCGAGACGATGGTGAGCTCCACGGAGGGCGGCAGGGGCGTACCCCGCTTTGATGGTTCGCCTGGCAGCCTTCAGGAGTATGCATTTCGAGTGCGGCTCCGTGCAGTCCGAGAGAGCAGCCTCGACGAAGGTGAAAAGAAGAAGATCGGGCCATTGGGGCTCAGACTCGTCGATGGGCTCTCAGGAGGAGCACTCCAAGTGGTCCGTGAGATCGACTTGAAGAAGTTGGCAAAAGAAGAAGGCCCAGAGCTTTTGTTGACCCACCTGTACGCTGCCTTTCGACCTCGACGCCAACAGGAAGCACGTCGTGAGCTGTACCAAGCAGGTGCCCAGAACCATGGGATTCTGAGCCGACAACATGGAGAACCCATGACGAGCTACCTCCTTCGGCGCCGCACCTGGTACAAGATGCTCTGTGATCTTGATGACAAGTTGGCACTTCCCGAGGCGATCTTGAGCGAGCAGGTGCTCATGTCGAGCGGCATCTCCCACGACCACATGCTGATGGTTCGCACGGCACTTGGTGGCGACATGTCGGTGAACCGAGTTTGCGATGAATTGATCGCACAGCATCCCCACATCCACGAGCTGGAGTTGAAGAGATCTCAACAAGACAGCCGCTTCCACAAGAGCGGAAAGGGCAAATCCATGAGGACCTCATCGCACTCATGGAACTCTGGCTCCAAGGCCTATGCAGCCGAGGATTGGGACGATGCTCACTCGCAGTCGCTTGGTGGATATGAAGACTATGAGCAGGGCGTGACAAGCTCCTACTACACTGGGAATGAGGAGGACCCTGCGGAGCATGAGGAGGCTGAGATTGACTTCGCTCTTGAAGCCTATGCGGCCCTTGTGGAAGATGGCTTGGATGAGAACAACACGGAAGCCATCGAGTATGCCTCAGAGATCGTGCAAGCTGAAGCTGAGGCCATGTTCTTGCACAACCGTGCGCAGAGCCAAGGTCACACTGGCTTTGGCGGAGGCAAGGGACGCTTCAGTGGCAAGGGCAAGAGCAAGCAGCAGATGGCTGATCGTCGAGCAGCCGTTGAGGCCATGAAGAAGAAGACAGCTTGCCGCAGATGTGGACAGATTGGACACTGGAGCACCGATTACATCTGTCCCAAGTACAGTGGCGGCAAGAAAGGAGCAAAGTCGACTGCTATGACCGGAACTACCACGACGGCATCATCTGGTGGCAAGAAATCTAGTGGCAAAGGCTCAGGACCCAAGCCACGTGTGGTCTACTTCACCGTGACCGAGTATGACAATCCGGACGAGAACATGGAGACCCAGGCCATGATGGCCATGAATGAGTTCGGACAGGTGCCACCTCCGTCGTCCATGCAGAGTCCTTCAGGTTTGCCTAGCCGGGAACTCACTGCAGATGAGTTGTTGGACATCGCCATCCAGCAGGCGGCATTCATGCAGAGTCAACAGACCCTGGCAGTTGAAGGACCTCCTGTTCCAGAAGATGCTGAATGGGAAGCTTCGGAACTTGGCCTGGTTCCGTCAGGTGATGGAGGCATGTCTGTGACCACCACTACCTCATGGTCTATGCCATCACAGTCGAATCCTTCGCCTATGTTGTTGAATATGCCTGGACCGTCGGGCCTTGCATCCTCATCGACTCCTATGTCACCGCTTCCCGGAATGTCAGCATATGGTGGAGCAGCAATGCCTGAAGTACCTCCGCTACCAGTTCCGGGAGATCAACAAGTACCAGCTCAAGCAGCAAAAGAAGAGAAGATCCTGCGGATGAACATGCATCCACCACCGCAGGACACGACTTTGAAGCAGCGATCTTGCCATCATCCCAACACGACTCGTGCAGGCACCAATGCCTATCAGACCAAGATCACCTGCAAGGATTGTGGCTTCATCCTGCACCTCATGAAGAAGGATCCAACAAAGCCCATGCAGACGCAAGACCGTTAAGAATGTCCGCATGTGAGAAAGGATTGGCGTGGCACTACCGCCACCACCTGGCGCTGGCGCTGCCTCAATTGTGGAGAGACGGCAACCGGCTACAAGAACCCCGGTGAGACAGGAGCTCAAGCTGTTGCAGCGGCACCTCATCGTGTTGGACAGGTTGGTCAATGGCTGGCTGATGACCCACCAGCCAAGGTCTTGGAGATGATGCAACTCACCATTGGCATCCACAAGGACACCACTGGCCTTGTGACTGGAGACCAGCTTGACCTCATCTACCGTCGTTGCAAAGATCAGGTCTATGGAGCCCCTGTGACATCTCAGCGGGTGGAACGACCTATGCCGGCTACACCACCGAGACCGTCTTCATCAATGGCACAGGAGAGCTTCCACACGCCACAGCGAGCGCCTCAGAGTCCAGTGCCATCCAGAACGGGCAGTGCGCCTTCCACACCTGGTGACAGGACCCTTGGACCTCGTGAAGTTCTACCCCAAGACCTGGCAGCTTGGGATGCAGAAGTTCTGGACAATGGACAGCAGAAAGGCCAGACCTTCCGCATGGTTGCAGAGACTGAGCAGAGCTACTGCAACTATCTCACTGGACAGCATCGAGCTGGCAAGATCAAGAATGCGCAGCTTCAGGAGTTTGCCAAGTACCTTGCAACTCGCTCTGGTACCGCCATGATGGCCTACATGGGACCCAGCAGCGAAGACATGTTGCTCTGTATCTTGGACACTGGCTGCAACAACACCTGTCATGGAGCAGGCTGGGTGGCCCGCTACACCGAGATGACAGGACTATGCCCTGAACTTCAACCTCACCATGGACGTGTTCGAGGAGTTGGAGGAAATGTTCAAGTTGTTGGCTTGCGCCAGATCCCGGTGCTCTTCGCTTTGAAGAATGGTGACATCGCCAGTGGCATGATCACTTCAACTGAGCTCAGTGGCAGCGACGCACCATTGTTGCTGAGCACCAAGGCCCAACGTTCACTTGGCCTCGTGATCGACACCGAGGAGCAGACCGTCTTCTCCAAGCGCATGAACAACTACTTGGAGATTGTTGACCGGGACGGCTTGCCTGCAATCCGCCTGATTCCTTCGACTGAGGATCGTCAGGACGTTGCTCTTCAGGTGGACTATGCCTCAGAGGGGGATGACAGCGGCAACAGTTCCAATGAGACGATGAGTCCCAATGATACCACTGCAACTTCGCCTTCCAGCAATGCCACTTCTGATGTGGACTCCAATGCAACTGAAGTTGATAAGACC